ATTTAGATGTTGATTTTTTTTTATATTTTTATTGAATCCAAATGGGGAAGTAAGGATTTTTATTGCTTTTGGATGGTTATTCTAGTTATAATCAAATTGTTATTGCTATTGAAGACCTAGAGAAAACCACCTTTACTTGTCCATATGGGACTTTTTCTTTTAGGAGAATGCCTTTTGGGCTTTGTAATGCTCCAACTACTTTTTAGAGATGCATGATGTCAATTTTTTCTAATATGGTTGAAAAATGCTTGGAAGTTTTTATGGATGATTTTCAATTTTGGGAATAATTTTGATGATTGTCTATTTAATCTTGCCAGAGTCGTTAAAAGATGTGAAGAAACTAATTTAGTTTTAAATTAGGAAAAATGTCAGTTTATGGTGTAAGAAGGCATAGCCCTTGGACATTAACTCTTTAGCAAAGGTTTGGAAGTAGACAAAGCAAAAATTGAAAGAATTAAAAAACTTCCACCTCTTACTAATGTGAAAGGTATTCATACTTTTTGAGACATGCTGGATTTCATAGGCAATTTATTAGAGATATTTCTAACATTTCTAAGCCACTTTGCAATTTGTTGGAAAAAGATACTCCTTTTAATTTTAAAGATACTTGCCATTATGCTTTTGTTGAACTAAAAAAGTGATTAATTTTTTATCCTATTATCATTGTTCCATATTAGAATCTTCCTTTTCAACTAATGTGTGATGTTAGTGATTATGCAGCTGGCACTATTTTGGGTCAAAGAAAAGAGAAAATTTTACATCCAATTTATTATGTCAACAAAAAATTGATTGATGCCCAATTAAATTACACAACTACTAAAAGAGAGCTGTTTGCTATTGTTCACGCTTGTGATAAATTTTGCTCCTATATTCTAAGCACTAAAGTCATTGTTTATATTGACCATTTTGCTATTAAGTATTTGATTGAAAAAATAGATTCCAAACCATGCTTGATAAGGTGGGTACTTTTGCTTCAAGAATTTGATTTGGAGATTCGAGACAGAAAAGGTACAAAAAATCAAGTGGTAGACCATTTATCAAGATTGGAGAATGGGGGACAAGCTAGAAATTCTATTGTGATCAGGGAGACTTTTCTTGATGAGCAACTATTTCAAATATAGCAAGCAAAAAAATTTACCATGGTATGGTTATTTTGTGAACTATATTGTACGTAATCTTTTCCCTTTGATTTAAATTCTCAACAAAAGAAGAAATTCTTGCATGATGTCAAAAGTTATTTGTGGGATGAGCCTTTTCTTTACAACCGATGTGTGGACCAAATTCTTAGAAACTGTGTTCCAAAAGAAAATTTTGAGAATATTCTTCGTATCTATTATTCTTTTGATTATGGGGGAAAAAGAACTATTGCCAAGATTTTACAATCCAGTTTTTGTTGGCCTTCTCTTTTTAAAAATGCTCATTATTTTGTTCAAAAATGTGACAAATGTCAATGAGTTGGCAATATATCTAAGAGACATGAGATGCCTCTCAACAACATCTATGAGGTAGAAATTTTTTATTTTTAGGGAACTGACTTTATGGGTCCATTTATTTCAACATTCAATAATGAATATATCTTGGTTGTTGTTGATAATGTGTCTAAAAGGGTTGAAGCCATAGCATTGCAAAAATATGACTCTAAGGTAGTAATGAGTTTCTTGAAAAAGTACATCTTTACTCGCTTTGGTACACTTAGAGCCATAATTAGTGATGAAGGCTCTCATTTTTGCAATAAATATTTAAAGGCACTCCTTGCAAAATATGGGGTCTAGCATAAGATTGCCACTGCTTATCATCCCCAAATTGGTAACGAAGCTAAAGTTGCAAATAGAGAAATCAAAATAATTTTAGAGAAAACTATGTGTCCATTAAGAAAAGAATGGTCAAAAAGATTAGATGATGCATTATGGGGATATAAGACTGCATATAAAACTCTAATTGGGATGTCTCCTTTTAGATTGGTTTTTGGAAAAGCTGGTCATCTTCTTGTTGAACTTGAACATAAGGCATATTGGGCGACCAAAAGGTTGAATTTTGATATTCAAGTAGCTAGAGAAAAGCGTCTTCTGTAGCTTAATGAGTTAGATGAGTTCTGCCTTAAAGCTTAAGAGAATGCAAGAATCTACAAGGAAAAAACTAAGAGATGACATGACAAGAAAATCCTTAAGTGTCAATTAGAACCAAGCTAACATGTTTTGCTTTACAATTCTAGATTGAGATCATTTCTAGGTAAGCTTAAGCCTAGATGGTTAGGACCTTTTTGCTGTTATGAAAGTATTCCCTCATGGAGCAATGGAAGTCCTTGATGAAAGCTTAAACGATAAATTCAAGGTGAATGGGTAGCGTCACAAACATTATTGGGAAGGTGAATTCTACTAGATTTCAACCATGGTTATAGAAAAGAATGAAGTTCAAAATTAACAATTAAAATTGAATAGCATAGCAAAATAAACATAAAAAACTGAAACCTCCATAGGGTCACTTGTTTTGGCATTTGATCGGATTAACTTTCATACGTACAAGCAAATGACCAAAATCATACCTTTAGTCGTAATTTCAATAAATTACAAGTCATGACCCTTTTTCTTGAGCATGAGTGTCATCTAGTAATGCATTATGACCACCAAAATATTAAAGAGTCAATTAAAGAATTTGATAAAGGCCTTAAGTGATAAGCCTCTCAGTGCAATACGATCTTTTCATCAAATATCCTAGATATGTTATAAAGCATGGTTCAATGTCTACTTATGACATTTCATATTAGTTCTTATAATTTATGACTAACCTTATGAATTTAGGAAACTAACTTTTCTCAAATTCATCATGCTTTGGCCAAAGATTTAATACAAGTTAATCAAAAATTGAGAACAAGTGAGATACATCCCCTTATATCACTTAGGGTGATGAATCCTTTCTTGACCACTCATGCGCCTTTACATACTTCATGTAATACTCTAAAACACCATCTTTAGGCATCTGGTCACCTCTAGACCTGTAAGGGTGAAATCAAAGTATTTCATTTCCCATACAACAAACACCTACAAGTTATCCTCAAGTATTCTATATACCTCAATCTATGAGATTGATTGCTTACTTCTCAAGTAATGAGGCTTAACACATACCAGTCTTTGAGCATTATCAATGCCTTGTCTTGACAATACAATGACTAGGAACAATTTTAAAAACATGGCTTTGATGTATAGTGATCTCATAATTGTAATAACTTTACAATTCTCTTGCAAGTCCTTTATGTTCCATGGGCTTTTTCTAATTAGTATTTAATAACTCCTTATTATTGCACTAACATGAAAGAAAATATCTATCACATATAGTTATACGATTAAATATGAATTAAATGACAATATAAAACTTTGGCCAATCTAATTGGCTTAAGGGCATATATCAACAATCTCCCACTTGCACTTGAGTAAGTTGCTAATGTATCCAATATTGAACTTTTTCACTTAGTAATTGTGTCTTTATTAGGACAACTCAAATTGTAATACTTGGGAATATGTTAGTTTATATGTTTAACAATTTCCATTGTCATGATCGAAATACTATTTAGATCACAACCAAACCTTGATTCCATTATTATGGCTCTTGTTGTTATTTTAACAATTCGAAATCATTTATTGGTTTATTGAACCAATGATTCAAATATCTTTCCTTTTTCATTCTAAATAAAAGGATTTCTATCTAATTATAGATATAACCATGTAGTTACCCTTTGTTTTGGAACCATTCCAAGACAACTGCCCAATTATGACTTTATGTCACTTTTAACACTCAAGATTCTTTTTATGCTAAACTCCTTTAACATGTCATCCTAAATTCTTTTGTTGAGTGCTCTTTTAGGCTCTAACTATTTGGTCCTATTTCAATTTTTTTACTAGTAAATGTATCTTATACACTTTTGATGAGTAACTTATCTTACTCCCACTAATCTTATGATTTGCACAAAATACGTTTATCTTGTTCAATGTATTCAACTACTTTGAATTTATTACATTAAATAGAGATTATTATCCAATCATTCATGTTAGATCATTTAGTAGACTCATCTTATATGAATAATGCATTACTATGCATCCTACTAATATTGGATTTCATAATTTCATGACCTTTGACCTTAGAAGTGTCATTAGCTCCCACTATTTCTATCAAGTATAGAAATCTTACTGAGTAAACCTATTTACTTTCCTTTAGTGTGTTATATCCATAACTTTTTGGTATACTTACATATCATAAGTCGTTCATCATTGGTTATGGGACGAAATCTTCTTAAAGGCTAACTCGTGTGATTAAATGGGTTTGGAATGCTTTGTGATTCATTTTTTATGAATTCATTATGATAATCAATTGTCATTTAGTTCTAAGTAATCTTAATTTAGATATAAGATTTCAATAAGAAGGCTTTTTGACTAAATATGTTCATAATCTTATTATGAATTCATTGAGTTAGGACTCAATTTGATCTAAGTGATCTCATTAATTTTCCTTTTGATTCATAATTAAAAGAAAAATAATCTCACAATGATCTTATCATTATGACTTAGTATTGATTATCATATATGCAAAGTCATACTTACAGATAAATAATTTAGAACAATTAAAAACTAAAATGAGATATAATGTAAATATATAAATATATACAAGCTAAGCATCTCATGCTAGCAAAATATAAATCTATGTTTCCCAAATATAAAATAAAATTTTCGGCCATAAGCCCAAAACTAAAATACCTCATCTTAGCAATCATGTCATGAAAACATTCAGTGTTCTAAAATTATTTATTATTCTACAATCTAATCTAGGCCTATAACAACCTTTTCCTTTGATCGTTACCAGCGTCTGAGACTTGTGAGTGAACTCGTCAAATCCCGAACAAGCCTCCGTTAAGTTTCCAAACAATTTAAACTCAACTTACAATTTTAATGCTATAGTTCACTTAAACCAAATGATCGCAATATTCAAAATGTAGCGTCTAGATACCAATAACTAGGTTTAATAACTCCACAACATATTTAACATAATAAGTGGTAATCATTACACATCCTCGAGTTTTAGCAAATGCATTTCCACAAACTATTTATCATCATAAGTCTGAGTACTTGACACAACACGACCTTTAGGTAGCGGAGTAACTCAGAGTGGAAGTCTAAGAGATGCCATTACCTACGTTGCAGCTAGTCTTGAGGTGCTGAGTGATGTACTTGTACCGATTACTTATCTGTAAAAGGATATGAGGGGGTGAGTCTCATAAACTCAGTGATCATCAACTCCATGAGTAGGGCATTGATGGAAAACAAGCTAAAGGCAGAAGATTTGAATATTAAAAAAAATATGAGAATATATGTAAACAACTTAACTCAGAAAGGGAGGTTTGTGCCATATATGTAAAACCTGTAAGTTAATGTAAGATAGTCGTTTAAATCAAATATCAAACCAATTCATGTAAAGATTTCTGCTGTCGAAATCATTTAGCAACTGGCTTAAAACAATTTAATATCATCATACATGCTCTCGTAAAATTCAACATTAACCAAGTTTATATGCAAATTTGTAAATCCAATGCCATCGTATAAGTAAAGGAGCTACGGGAAACCGTTATTTCTCACCATGTGAAAAAAACTATGTGCATAAAACCTAAAGAGATATCACTCTCGAGTAGGAATAGAAATAAAGAACATGTGGACCCGTTTCCATGTAAAAACATTTGGGAGCTCCGCTCCACCGGATCCCCATATGGCATGGCAGTCTCAACGATGTTGGTCGACATTGGATAAATCAAGCGGTCGCAACCGCGTATTACAACTTATGGCCTAGCCACATACAGTCACAGACCATGGCCCTAGCCATGTCTAACAGCACGTTGGTGACCTAAACATTCTCTAGCTAGAGCTCACTTGTGCACAAGGGTCACACTTAACTGAAGTGACAATCGACCTACTCTTGAATCTCCCGGTTTGATAAAACCATTTAAAAATATAGTTGGATTCTCAAAAGTTCATTTCAAAATCATTTCCAAAATATTCACGTAGTAACAAGATAAGATCACTTATAAGACTTTAAAATATAAACTCTTTGCTTGAGATTGAAAAATCGTTTAGCATGGTTAATATGCGTTTCAATCGTGAATGCACATCACACAAACTATAAGGCACATAGTTGACATAAATCATATTAAAAAGCTTGTTTCTCAATTTCAAAAACCTTTACATATATATATATATATATAGCTTATGTATATTCAAAGCCATTTTCAAAGTAATAACATCCACAATTTCCTAGCATTTCTACCAATTCATTCTTTCCACAAATTTGCATTCAAAATAAATCAACACGTATTCATATATATAATTAAGAAGATTTTAAAATAGACACCCCCTACTCACATCACAATAGCGGGACGCTATGTCGCTATTGATTTGAGCGCGTATCTAGCTAATTTTTACTTACCGATCATTCATTACCTCCTCCTACATGCCACCATGGCAACTTTACTTGCTTATACGCTTCCTAGCAATCATTCAAACCCAATACATTTAATTATACACACGAATGGTAGCAACTTTACCAAAGTAGTCTTAAATCTTTGCATGCATAATTCTTATCCTTTATTTTCTTCAACATTACATTCTCACAACCATTATAGATATTCTTCCTAACCCATAGTCATATAGCATAAACAATTAAGGATTAGGCCACAATTTGTCTTATCTTTCCTCAATAATTCAACTTGAACTAAAATCAAGAAATCTTAAGCTCTTTGGTAGCAAAATCTCACATTCCTTGTGATTCACCAACATGCATGGTTTTTCTTGGCTCCCATATGGTATTCTTTTGCTGCCACAAACATTTTCACACATCATAATCGGTTCAAAGAGCATAAATTCAACCAAACTAACAATTTCTATCTTCCTTACCTTGAAATATTTAAGCCAAACCACCAAACTCTCCTTAAACTTCAACAATGGCGTGTGGGTGGGAGGAAATACCTTTTAGTTTTTCTCTAGTTTCTCCAAGCCGAACCTTCCTTCCTTTCTCTCTTTTCTTTCCTTCTTTCCTTTCCTTTCTCTTTTCTTCTTGGTTGTGGGCGGACCTCTCAAGGCCAAAGCCTTGAAAATGGCTTCACTTTTTCATTTTTGCCCACACATGGGCGGATTGCCCAAGCCACAATTCTTTGCCATTATTTTCTTTTCTTTTCTCTTTAGCTTCCTTGCATGGGCGGATTGCTTGAAGCTTGATGGCCTATTTGTCATTTCTCCTTTGTTTTTATGGGGTAAAAGTACAAGGCAAAAAGCCTTTGAATTCTTTCCATTGCCACATCCATTTTCCATCCTTTTTCATTTTTTTCCTTGATTTCTTTATTCTATTCTTTTTCTTTTCATCTCTTTATTTGCTCTTTATTCTTATTGGACCAACTCACTCCCCACTCACATTTCATGCACAAATTGTTTCTTTTGCTCATTGGTCCAAAATCTATCCTAATTGCCTTCCATCTGCCACCTCATTTTCTTACTTTTATTTTTATTTCCTTTGCCACCTATTTCTTCCAATTGCATTTCATGCACAACTTTCCTCTATATTTTAATAGGCCATTTGTTACACCCTTCAAATCACATCTAACTCACTTTTTTCTTTCTTCATTTGACCACCAAATGCACCAATCACATTACATGCAAACAAACTTTAATCTTATTCTTTCGTTTACTTCACATAGTGGGGGTCCCACATGTTCCTTACTAACTTCTCTTTTTTTTTTTTGCATGTAATAATGAGTTTCACATGTACATCTCATATTTCACCTAATCTAACTTTCCTTAGTTAATAAATTCCCATCTAACTTCAAATATTGAAAATTACACTTAAGTCCTCAAACTTTTCTTTATTTATAGTGTGACCCTTCAAACTTTCATGCTTTATAATTTGGTCCTTCCAACAGTTCTTAAATTCCAATTTCCTTCTAGTTTCGTTCCTTTACATGATGTATAAATATAATATAAGATTTGCACCCCATCAAGGTGTCACCATAATATTTAAATATATACTTACCCACTCGTGCTCAATTTAATAAAAGCACGCGAGCCTCACTAACATCGTTTTTCTTCAAACTTCTTTCTTACTTCGTCTTCCCCACTTAGATTAGTCATATAATCCTCCTCCATGACTAATCTTAACAATAATTAAAATATTAATATTTTAATATTCTTTTATTAATAAAATATTATTTTATTTTAAAATTCTCCACATATCTCCTCGGGTCCCAAAGTGTCTCACTTTACCCTAGTTCACTTCCAAATCACCTTTTAACCTGCTAATTCATCTCTAATAATAATATTATTATTTAATTATTCTTTTATCACGTACAAAATATTTTATTTCAAAATATTCTTTTCACCCGTTACCGCTCTTTGGCATTTAGATTTTCATCAACTGACCTTTTATCTTATCAATTGGATTTGGTTGACTCCTATTCGAGAATACGGGGTGTTACAAGGCCAACAAGGTTGATCACCATCAACTAAGGTTGTCGCCTTCGTGGTCTTATTCTTCACTGCTCCTTGTCATTAGTTCCTACAATATGTCATACATGTTAAAGCTATTAATAAGCAGTAAGGTATCATATACCAAGTAGTAAAAATTAAAACGTCAAAAGATTCATACTTGATGCGAAATCTTCCTTTTGTTTTTCCTCTTTGATGGATTCAAGATAATCTCTACAATTGTGCTTCCAATACCTTAGTTTTCCATAGAAATGGCATTTGTCACTAACCTTGTCCTTCTTCACTCCTTTTAGGCTTCATACCTTTTGAAGTTGATGCTTTTCCACCCTTGTCTTTCCTAAAAAATTTTATTTTCTTATTTCTTTTCTTAGAAAAGACAAGATGAACTAAAGGCTCCTCTTTTGCAATGGTGTTCTCAACCTATGTAAGCATATTCAATAAGCCTGATAAGGTTACCTTAATCTTGTTCATGCTGAAATTCAACACAAACTGTCAATAACTCTCTTGCAATGAAGAGAGTACAAGGTCTATGCTTAAATCAGGGTCCAAGTCCAACCTAATTGCTCAAGTCGAGTGATATATCCTATCATCTTAAGTGTATGAGGCTTTACTGGGCTTCCTTCAGACATCTTACTTCAAAACAATTCCCTTGAAATGTTGAATCTTTTTGTGCGACTTTCTTTATCGAACATTTTTTTAAGGTTTAGGATAATATCTATGGCATTCATAGCTTATGTTGCTTTTAAAGATTTGGAGCCATATTAGCAAACATCGTACATGTGGCTTGATCGAGATCATCTGTTCCTCATTTGTAGCATCATTGCTAGGTTCCTCAATAACTGCACCATCTTGGACATAAGCATTTTTCTCTTGTTTCAAGACAATCTTGATATTGCGAAACCCATCAATGAAATTTAGGCTTGTCAAATTGTTTGCATCAAGCATGCTTCTAAGTGACAAACTATTCGCCATTATTGATTTAGTCCTATATAAACCAACATATATGATTATTAGTCATTAACGCAAATTATATAATCATAAAGGCAAGGTTATAGAATCATGTATGATTATTCTTATTATTGTATTAAAATAATAGCCTTCCTCTACTATTTTGAGAAATTTAACATTTAAACTTCTTATTGAGCTATGACCCCTTTTATCCCACCATGACCTTGAGTGACTTAACAAGCCATAATGAAACTAAGTAGGTAGGTAACTTAGCTTATGAATTGTATCGTATACAATTCCTAGATCAGTTAGGTGACAACTCCTTGTCTATATGTATCATATACATTTTTCCTAACTATGCCTCTAATATTATGTGGCCATGTTTGACACATCCAAACAACATGGTACTAGTTGAGTAAGACCCACTAATAACTCAAACATACTCACGTAAAAGTTTGGCCTTGAGTGACTCAACAAGCTTCTTATTAAAAGAGCAGCCTGGTTATCTTGTTATATGGTAGAAGGTAACTTTTAGACTCAATATATTAATAAGGAATTTTTATTTATTAATTCATTAAGTAAGGTCTTATTGATGTGACGTTGTTGACATGCATAGCATTTATCACATTTCACATATATCATATATATATATATATATATACTAAAAAATAAATCTATCTCCTGCCATATTATAGACTAGGATGCTTATGGACTTTACTAATTCTAATTTCTTCGAGCCAGTAAGGAAATTAGTTGGTCAAATTCCTTGGGGATTTTATAAACATGTATTCAAGCTTTGCTTGTAATCTCCTTAAATTTCCATGGTGCCTTTGGATCTCCATTTTCAAGTTACAAAAATTTTTCTATCTAACCCTAGTTTTACACTTGGATGTAACTAATTATAGACTATAATCAAGAAAACCTTAAGTTACATTCGAGGGGAGTTAGATGAGAAAAGAATTTTACAACCCTAGAGAAAATAAGAGTAAGGCAGGGTGCGTAAACCCTATTTCAAAATAAATACCATGAGAAATAAATTTAATCATACATGACCTAATCTTCTAAGGTCTAAGTCCATAATCATCCTCATCCGTTATAATCATAATCAAAAGCATAGAAATAAATGTAAGCTCAATATCACTTGGAGGTCATGTTTGTTATTTGAGAAAAGCATCAATTAACTTACTTAAAGCTCTTAACTCAAATTATTTGGTATTAGTTTATTTCAATTTAGTGTTTAAGAAATTTCCTTTTTCAAAACACTTAAAGTAAACCTTTTGCTCCTTTCGCTTAAATAAAAATCCATTAAAATAAAACTTTCTATTTTAAGACTTTCCATTTTAATTCTTTTCATAATTAAAACTCTTTTTAATTTTGGAAACATCTTTATTTTAGGCAAGGTTTCTAATATGTATCTAAGACAACATTTTAATTTCTAATATTTAGAACATCGATTAGTTTCCTAAATTGTATCTTGTTCAAGTTACTTAAATGGTGACTTAATATATTTTGAAAACTTCTAGTCAAACCAAAATTTTCAGGAAAGTTCAATGTTATCACATAATTTTAAGAATTTCTTTTAAAGTAGGAAATTATTTTCTATGAATTTTCTAAATTAAAATACTATTCTTAATTTTAAAATTTTCTTTTAAAGTAAGAAATAATTTCCTACTTTTTATGAATCATCCAAAATTCAAATTCTATCCTTAATTTTAGGAATTACTTTTAAAGTAAGAAACAATTTCCTATTTTTTGGTGAATCACCCCAAATGAATATAGATGGCATTTAAGTGCTCTTAAAACTCCATAAATCATGAGCCAAATTCATTAAAAAAGTTGCTAAAAATTTTCAGCAAGTGTGTTTAACAATTAAACACAAAATTCATGGAGAATTAAGCCACCAAAATCGATCATAGCTATCCAAAATTTTCTACATTGAATCTTTGTTGTTTTGGAACCTGAAAATATGATTTTATGATTCTTTTTCGTGCTAAATCAAGTCTAGCCAAAACATGCAATAATTTAATTTAATAAAACTAATTTTTAACAATTAAAAACTGCCCATAGCGCTTACCTAATGTTAGCAAAAATAATCAACACATTAGTTTCCAAAACACTTTAAAACTATTTGGTTTTAACTTGGCTTTGCAAGCCTTTTAATCCATTTATGAATTCTTCACTTAAACATGATTTTAAACTTTTAAATTATGTTTTAGTGGATTAAACACATGCTGTTCAGATTTGAATTAAACAAAAAATTAAGTTTTAGAGAAAGCCTTCAAAACTGATATATACCAAATCAACAAACAAATCAATCCTATTGATTATCATCAAGAATCAAGCATGCAAATTATATGAAAAACATCAAACAAATGCTCTAATACCACTTCTGGGATTCGACCTCATACTTAAACATAAAATTAATCATGAAATTAGAAATATAACACAATAGAAAAATAAACTAGCATTTAATAAGATAAACAGCATAATTCCACAAGATCAATATTTGTATTTTTCATGTAATTTTGAACATTCACAAGTTTAAGAGTTTCATACCTTGCTCTAGATATTGTAATCAAGATCCAATTAAATCCAAAAATGCTTGTGATAAAGTATGTAACCCTAAGACAGTCTAAAATCCTACAATCGAAATCTTTACTTCTTCACCTTTAAGATTTGTCAAATCTTCAGCCACCCAAGTGTTTGGCTTCTAACAGTAATCTACGCAGTGATCGAATAAGGCCTTCTCAAAGGTA